CAAGTCGCCACTTCTCATCTTCCAGCTCCACAGCTACTCCGCGTACTAAAGTTGTACTACGCAGTCGCCAGTTCTCAGCTTCCAGCTCCACAGATTGCTCCGCGTACTAAAGTTGTACTACAAAGTCACCAGTTCTGAGCTTCCAGCTCCCCAGCTACTCCGCGTACTACAGTTGTACTACAAAGTCACCAGTGCTCATCTCCCAGCTCCCCAGATACTCCACGCCTCTCGCCCGCATTTCGCGCACTCGACACGCACGATCTCCGCAGAGGGTTGCGCGGGCAGCCGGCAAATCCCCCTCTCGCCTGCATTTCGCGCACTCGACACGCACGATCTCCGCAGAGGGTCGCGCGGGCACCCGGCACATCGCACTCTCGCCTGCATTTCGCGCACTCGACATGCACGATCTCCGCAGAGGGTTGCGCGCGGACCGGACAAATCGCACTCTCGCCTGCGTTTCGTGCACTCGACACGCACGATCTCCGCAGAGGGCTTGGCGCGCAGCCGGCAAATCGCACTCTCGCCTGTATTTCGCGCACTCGACACGCACGATCTCCGCAGAGGGTTGCGCGCGGACCGGACAAATCGCACTCTCGCCTGCATTTCGCGCACTCGACACGCACGATCTCCGCAGAGGGTTGCGCGGGCAGCCGGCAAATCGCACTCTCGCCTGTATCGACACGCACGATCCCCGCAGAGGGTTGCACTTTCGGTTGACGCTGTTCGTCCCGCCCTCCGCCTTTAAGAGAGAATTTATAAAGTGGGGAAATGTTTTTTCATTAGGACATCTCCCGTGCTAGTCAAAGCATGCTTGCGTACCCATCACTTGTATACTTACACTGCGTGCTTGCCGAGTGTCAGTGTGTATGTGTAAGTGTCAATGTCGAAGTGTCAGTGTATGTAGTGCGACTGTAGTGGAAGTGTCAGTGTGTAAGTGTAAGTGTCGAAGTGTCAGTGTTCAAAGGATTTTCCGGAAGAACCCTTCGCAATGCTTTCGGGAAAAATCAAAACATCCTGAACCCAAAAACTGCAGGGCAAGGCATCGATTCCTTCCTGCAATGTCACCAGGTTGGCCGTGACACTGGGGCGCCCCCCCTCTCAGGACACTCAGCCTTCCAGATAAACTCTCAAGGATCGTTTGCTGACTTTGCGGATGCCTGCAGTGTGAGATCCAAAAAATCATTTCTTTGGGACAACGCGAGGTCAGCATCCTCTGAACCGTGTCCATCATGGACTGCTGATACTCCAAGATCCAGCGTCCTCGTCACCGTCACTGGCGACAGTCCTCAGCTTGTAGGGCCTCTTCTGAGAATGACTCGGGTCCTTCAGCCTCATGGGTCATGAATGCATTGGCCTCATAGGTCTGTGTGTGTCTTGAGGAGGTCTTTCCTGAGTGTATCTGCGGGAAAAATTGCTCCTCAGCAGCAGCCTCTGTAGTCCAGTGATCTGGACGACGCAGCAATCAACCGCTTCTTGTCTTCGGCACTCAGAGCAGAATTCCTCAACAGGATGGGGGCCCTGAACTCATCTCATCCCTCCGCTCAACAACTCCTCAAACTTATGATCATGCCGTAGATTGCTCGATCGAACCTCTCGAACTTGCTCTCCATGTTGGATTTGCCCCAGATTCCCCCCAGCTGGCCTTGACTCCTTCTAGAGAGTTCACTCAAAGAACCCTCGGATCCAATCGGGACACCCTCTGAAATGCAAACCCTTCACACATGCTGCGGAGGCCAAAGCTGGGCGAGAAACCCAACCTTCCTTGTCCAATCTGTCAGGCCAGCTTCACCAGGCTTAGACTGTGGCAGCTGACTCCAAGGTAAGCAGATCTGGAATCAGCGGGATCTGTTTCCTGCTTTCCCTCCCTGGAGCCGCTCTTCTGTCTTCTCAACGCTGTCCAGCGTTCAACTGACGAATCAATGTATGCAATGTAAAAAAAGCCAACTCAACTGAGCAACTTGTGCAATGACCGGCCAGCAATGTATCAATGCCCAAGGCTTTGCGCAATGCACGACGCACCCAACCAAGGCAGCCTTTCAAGCTTGCCCAATGATCGACAACCGAGCCCTTTAGAGCGGAACTCCGCGACCAATGTGGGTTTACCACACTGGTAGCCACACCAACAATGGCTGCAAAAATGCTGTTTTCAGCCGCCTCTGCCTGAACGATCGTTGGTTTTCCGGAACTTTCGGTGCCTCACCGACTGCTATGCGGGACAAGCCACCACCAAAGGCCCTCCCTCAGGCCACCCATCGTCCTCGTGCCTCTCATGGGCTACGGAAGGGAACATGGTGGTTCCTCAGGTCAAGTCCATGTTTTGACATTCACAACATGCATACATACATACATCCATACATACATACTTACTTGCATTGCATTGCATTGCATTACGTTACATTACATTACATTACATTACATTACTTACTGACATGACATGACATGACATGACATGACACAACGCATAACACACATGGAGGAGTTGCTACCCTCCCTCTACACTACCCCTCCCCCTCAAGGAAGGCCTGAGCACCTAATAAGGCCTTGCTAGTTACTGTGTAAGCGCTATTCTTAGCCCTTTTCAAGGCCTCTCTTGCAAAATGCAAAGTCACTAGCTCCACGAACCCACCAGCTCTCAGAGCATGGTTGGCCAGGGGAGGGCCAGTTCAGCGGGGACCACTTCACACTTCCATATACCATAACATAACACAACATACATTGAATACATTGCATGCGCTTAATGCATGCGTGCAGGCATGCATACAAACAATACATCACAATAGAATACAATACCAAACCTTACGTTACGCACATTACATTACACACTACACTACATTCCATACATACCAATACAAATGCACACTAATACAACACATACTACACATGATTTATGTATACGTTTGTTCTGCCTATATTGTGTCCATCCGGTCAAACTTCAAGTTCCAGGCAGTGTTTCCCGCCCTCATCGGGCGGTGGTGCGGCTGCGACTGTCCTGGAGCTGAGCGCTCAGCGCGAACCGGGGTGGCTTTATGTCTTCTGGGCCGGACAACGGGTGTTGACAACTTTGTGTTCTTTCACCCCGCCACAAGGGCCAGTCTCCAAAGTCAGAGTCCTCTACTAAAATCAGAAGGGCATGATGAAGCATGAGTTCCTGCTGTTTCAGGTGGGCCTGCCTGAAAAGGGTGCAAAAGTGATACATGCTTGCTGGATTCAGTCAACAGGCAAGGAATCGAAGTCTCCATCCTTTGGTCCAAGTGCCAAAGGGGCAATAGCGCTATCAGTGACGCTTAGCGGAGGTGCGCCGTTTGCTAGTTGAAAACTACCCCAATTCCCGTCAAGAAGCAGCCGATAGAAAAACAGGACAGTGGCTGTCCGAAACGTGGTCGCTAAACCTCTCTGAAATTTGGCTTGCACCCCTTAGAACATAACTTTGTGTAACATCCATGCTCCTCTCGCTGAAGAAATGCTCCATGCTGGGTGAGCCACTGGATTTGCACGGCCTGTTTTCACTCTTCTGCTAGGGATTTACCTGGAGCCTTACCAGTTCTGACTCAACACAGGATTCTGCGAGTAGTGTGGGACCTGTGTAGGCTCCAAGTAGGAGAGAGTTTAACTGCCCTCCCGCAAATCTCACACATCCACATCTCCTTCCTTCATCCCGGTGGAGTTTCACCCACTCTAGAATTTTTCCGAACTTGTTTTACAATTTGTTTAGAGTGAACATTCTGCCATAAGTTCGTTGGCTGATTCTGAGGGCAAGAGTTGTAGGTCATCTCCGCAAGCCTAAGTTTACAACTTGTACATCTGAAGGAAGCATGTTGAAAAACAGGAATTACTCACATTTCATGGAACAATATGGGTTCATAATCTTCCCCCACTCTCCACATGCAGCTCCAGCTCTGCTGGACGTGGCGAAATGGGAGGCTCAATGCTAGGTGAGCCAATCAGCGGTGTAGTGGAAGAATGCCAAGTTCAGAGCTGCCCAAACCACATAATTAAAAGAACACACCCCCTGCTCAAGAAACCGCATCCCTAAAGGTTCTGTTCGACACCGTCCGATAACGATACGGAGAGTCTGCATCACTCCAATATAAATCCACATTCCCATCAATGATCTTTGGTCTGTGTTGCTTTGGAGTGCTCCAAAAATGCCGGCATTCTCCTTGTAGCTTCGAATTCGAGTGCCATGCTTCTGGTTCCGCAGCGGCGAAATGAACAAAAGGCCTCCCTGTCCTCCTGATTGGGACACCACCAACAACAAGGGGTCGAAAAAAGGGTAGTTGCCATTCAACAGGTTGCCGTGCAAACTAACTAGCTGCTAGCTGGGCTGAAAGGGATGGTCGTTGCCCCACGGTTCCAGTTCTCAAATGATCCACAGCCAGAACAAACACCAGGAAACCCGGTTTGAAGGAACACGCCATCCAACCTTGGAAGGGCAGGCCTTTGGCGGAAAAACCCACAGGATCAAACCACAAACCCCGAGAACCAGAATCCGACGAGCTGTTTTTCTTTGAAAATGTCCACGGAGGGGTTTGTGTCTTGCCTCGGGACGTTGCATGGTGTGAGGCTCTGGCCCCTGCCCAACTCAGAAGCTTGTGGTCGCGAACAAACCTTTTACCATTCGGTGCCAAACTTTCCACGAAATAGGTGGATGTTCCACTAACAGAAGCAAAACGATCAAAACGGTAGTTTGTGAGATTTATTGAGTTACCACCTCAGAACAAACAGGCGCGGAAAATGCGACACCAAAGGATGGATGCGCAGGCGTCGAATTCGTCAAGCTTGGCTTGAAAGCAGGCTTCTTTGATCAAAACCCGCAGGAAACTGGATTTACGAGACTTCTCGATGTAGCACAATTCTAGCTTCAACAAGCCTAATTTGCTTCTTACATGCAGTTTTTTCCTCTCTCTCTCTCGTTCTCTCTCTTTGACTCATGCAACGAAAAACATCGGCAAATGCCATCATGCCCTGGTTTACTCCAGTCTTGCACAGCCACGAGGCCCAACGCGCTCCATGGGCGGCTCCGACTCACTGCGGATCACGGCACGAGATCCTTGGTCGCTTTTGTCGTCGGTTGCGAAAAGAGGAACAGTTGAGAAAAAAGAAGAAACACATGCTTTTTCCCCAAGCAGGGTGTCCACACTGAGGGGTACTTACGGTAAGTTTAAAAGCCCAGGTTCAATCAGGGTGCTCTCTGAGCGCCCTTGTTTTGGCTGCGCAGGCTCGCACAAAAGTTCCGTGCTGAAATCTCCAAACGCAATTTCTCTGCGCAGGGTCGCGCGAAAAGCTGGCTGCGGGAGGGTGCTTTGACGGAGGTGTGCTCTCGCCGTGCGCATTTTCAGACTTGGTGACCAGTTCTCATGACAGGCGAAAGGGAAACCTCGTGAATTCGTGGCAGGCGCAGTGCTTTGGAGACGGTGGTGGTCTTTGGCGTGGTCTGTTTTCGTGGCAGGCGCAGTGAACTGTGACTTTTGGACATGTGGCTCGATGTCAGAAATCGTGGCAGGTGCGGTACTTTGTGGACCTTGAAGTGCAGATTTCGTGGGAGGTGCAGCACTTTGTGGATCTTGAAGTGCAAGTTTCGTGGAAGTTGCCGTGCTTTGTGGACCTTGAAGTGTAAATTTAGTGGCAGGTGCAGTTCTTTGTGGACCTTTCCCGGCTTGCGAACCCCCATCCACCACCATCAGCACCCGCCACCATCACCACCAACACCAGGATCTTCACCTTCATCACCGCCATCACCTCTCTGGACCCGAATGCTTCTAGATTTGTAGACTTTCTGCTGCTACACCTCTAGACCTCAAACACACTGTTTGGGGTCTCTTGCCGGGATAATTTTTCATTTTTACTTTTTCTTTAGACCTTTATTATTTTCTCCTTTTTTCCAGAAAAACAGGGACGAAAGAAACAGGGACCACCAACAATTTAGCACCACGAACATTCCTCCACTGGGTATGGTTTCATGGTTCTGGTGATTTGGTGGTTTGGTGCTACTATGTCACTATGTGCTGCTCCAAGTGGATTCCTGGACACTTAGAAGCAACCCACACGAGACAAGTCATCGTTTGTTCAGTCTCCTCCCAACCTAGACCCTTCAAAGCGAACGCATCACTTTTCTCGGGATGCCATAGGCATGGGGGCATGACACCCTGAGTCTGGTCAAAATGATCAGGCAAAGCTTTGGCGGCGAAACCCCGGTTCCGAACGGTTATCTCTTCACGAGGCCGTAACAGAACACTTGGTGACCAAAGACCTGAGCAACTGGAATTCACTTCCGGAGTACCCCACCATCATTCGAGCGAATGTTCGCTTTGAACAAACGCAAAAACTCAAATGAGTCTGTACGAATCATACGAACACAAGCCGGGCGCAGCCTGGCCTAGCCTGAGCGCCTCCCTGCAGCTCAGGCCACAGGGAGGGGTGGGTGCTCAAACCTGGCGTTCGCCGCACGTCTCTCGCCAAAATGGCAGCGTCGTACGACGAGTGATATCTAAAAATTCATTAATGAAAAATCTTCAGTTGAACAAGGAAACTGAACAGCTTGCTATTAAGTGGCTTCCATGTTCCAGCCAACCTACCGACAACAAGGAACCCACTTAGAAGCAACCCACACGAGACAAGTCATCGTTTGTTCAGTCTCCTCCCAACCTAGACCCTTCAAAGCGAACGCATCACTTTTCCCGGAATGCCATAGGCATGGGGGCATGACACCCTGAGTCTGGTCAAAATGATCAGGCAAAGCTTTGGTGGCGAAACCCCGGTTCCGAACGGTTATCTCTTCACGAGGCCGTAACAGAACACTTGGTGACCAAAGACCTGAGCAACTGGAATTCACTTCCGGAGTACCCAGGCCCCTCACTTCGCACAAGAACATTTTAACCACTCACGAGACAGGGTTGCGAACGAGAGCACTCGGCCAACGAGCAAGGACCGTCTTCCAGCCGACGTGTTCACCACGCATCAAGTCATCTCTCGAGGGCGCATCAGCCGGATTGGCATCTGTTGCGACCCGATCTATGAAGACTCGAATCTGGAGCTCTCGAACAAGATCCCAAAATACCGAAATGAGCAGGCAGAGATCTTCTCTTGAAGAATACCCTTTTATCAAGGCCGACTCAACGACTTCGGAATCTACGAAAAGTAAAAGGTCTGAAAAACGAAGGCGATCGGCAAAAGTGGTCAAACTCACGATCGGTGCAATCATCTCCACTGGAATGATCTGCGCCTTTCGAACAAGCCACGTCTCCTTCAGCCTCTGTGGAACGACCTCAGTGAACTGAAGAGGATCCATGGACCTGCGATCAAAAAGAACAGCGCCTATCCGATCGGGTTTCACATCGACTTCTCTGGGGTCAGGGGAGAACCCATCCGTGAACAGGACAGCGTCTGCTCGTTTGTCTGCACAGAAATCGATCGTCCTGGGTGGACCCTCACGAATCAAGATCAGCCACTGTTTGAGCGACTCTTGCAAAGGTCTGTCCAAAGAGAAACGATCGTTTACCGACACTCGAGCGTACTGTCTTTCCGAGATGGTCTTAAGAAAAGCCCTCCCCGTCTTGCCCCAAAGCTGGCTGGCTCCAAACATGAGCTTACCTTTTAGCTTACCAGCATGTCCTGGATCCAGCGTTCCCGAATCAAGGATTGCTTGCAGCTCTTCAACGAGCTCAGTCTTTCGATCGGCCTTAATCTCCAGGATCCAGTCGTCTAGATTATATGTCACACCGAGACTGGTCGGACGAGAGGTCAGTTGCAGCTTCTTGGCATCAAACCTTGCACCCAACATCCAGTGAACACTGACAGACGTCTGGAAAGCCGATTCGATCGATTCGACTGGCTCGAACCCATACTTGTCGTCATAAAAGTTGAAGGCTTTGAGATTGAACAATTTCAAAAGAATTTCGTTGATAGCAGCCGAACGGCGGTTGTAGTTGTAAACTGCCGAAACAAGGCCGAAGGAATGACCAACCATGATGAAGAACACTGGTACACCTCGAGAGGGGTCCTTCAAGCATATGACACTGAATTTACGATGGTCAGGGCGAATGGCCACTTGCCGATAGGCCCCACCCGGCCAGCTTCGAATCAGGCAGAGCCGATCTGAGACACCTGAGAGCCGCTACGTTCACATCAGTCGAGGGCAATTGCAATTTTTCAGTGATCACTGTTGTCTGGTTGATCAAGTTAGTGGTGGCGCTGTCGCACCCCCGAACCTTATTCTTTTGAACAACTTCAAATCTCTGGGTTGGGATCCAATCATCACACTTCAGGAAGTTCGAAACCTCTTGACAAGAACCGAACGGCCCAAGGGTCGAACCCTCCTGAACGTCCTCCAAAGTGGCGTCCCAAATCTTCTTTAAGTTATCCGACACCGGGACACCTTGCACTCTAGAGACAATTTTTGAACGAATCTCCCAGGCCCTTGAACAAGCATGTTGAACCGAAACTGTCTGTTGGGGCTTGTCGAACGGCGGCCAACGACGCGAACGAGCAATTGGACCAACGATCGGAAACCCTTGCAGTAGAAGATCCGGTAGGAACCTGTCGATCGAGTCGCAGGCTTCCAACATTTCGTAGTACAGAGCAACGTGACAACAGGCGCCGAGTTGGCACGGTTGATCATCCGGCACTCCGCGAAGCAAGGTCCTCAGCGCCGGATCCGAAACGGCCCGGAGCAAACGATCGGTCGCAGGCAAAAGTTCGAAAGCCCTGGCCTCCCACTTGGACAACACTGTCATGCGAGTGGCCACAACAGAAGACACATTCTGAGCTAAGTTGTTCACTGCACGCTTCATGTCTTGATCAAGTTCGACCTCCTCACTCAATGGATGTGCAATCTGAAGTGCCCAAGCGATAGCTACCCCGGGTTCCGTTTCGACATGGAGCAGTGGCTTAAGAGCACCACGTTTGAGCTGGTAGCCTGAGGCCTCGGCCTTCAGTGCTGAGAGGGCCTGACGATGCTCCTTCCAACGGAGTGGTTGCCCGAGCGGGCGCTTTCTGCTGGGGGTGGAGAGC